GCCTCCACCAGAACGCAACCTCTCCCGAACTGCTTCACAAGCATCCCATTCCGTGGCCACATCTTCTATGTTGGTGTAGCCCATGGCCACAAAAAGACCCTTGATTTTGAACCAAACGGCTCTGGGGAGGGCGAGCCAACTAAGAAATAGAAAGCTAGAATCAGTAAATCAACCAATGGACAAGGCTTATAAAATTTATAGGGGAAAGGGTGCCATGTCACATTTGGTAGGGAATGAGTCAACAGTCCTGCCCCGTTCCAGGAGCTTGGATCCCGGACCATTCTTCGACTTGGCACTGGAAGCAAAAACCATGGCTGTCCGCTGCGCCCGTCAGTGTGCTAATATGGGGTTTTGGTGATGGCTCTTGTTCTAGCAGTGGTTGAAGTGTTGTAGGCATGTTCGAGATCCTAAATTCCCCAAGAAATTGTCTAACCGTTGGCCCATGATCTGGTATAGAAAATCAAATATAATATATAATAATTTGACACAGATGTTTAACTTGTTTTAACCATAAACATTTCCGTTGAGGAGTATCAACATACAGTTAAATTTGAAATGGTGGGGGCATCATATGCCTGTAAACTATGAAGCATGGGGTATCTAAGTTTGGCCATATCTCTGGTTGAAACATGTTGAAACATAAAACTTTCCTTATAAAATCCCATTTGGGTTGACTTTGCATGCGGTTGATAGCAATCTATCCATCAAAAAACACATTTGGGCTAAAAAAGCGATATACTCCCCCTTGATTTAGCAGATTAAGCCAAGATCCGGAGATGCAAGAACCTGTCAAAGCGGTGCTGACGAGAGGGTAATATGGGATTCATAGGGTAATATGGAATAACCAGGTTTTCTAAAGGAAACACGATGCTTTTATCTCAATCACGGGTAAACACGATGTTTATAGTTAAACCCTAGAAAAATGTAGGGTTCGGTTGCTTAGGGTATACATACATATTGATACATGTTGTTTCATATCATGATAGATAGCCTAGTTATAAAGCAATTAAAGCCATTTTTTTTTTCGGGCCCTGCCCTTGGTAGAAGCATCAATGCTGGCAAGCTGGACGCTACGATTACGCCGGATGCACCGCTGCCAGAGCTTCGTTTTTTTTTTAATGTGCCACTGGGCTCGTTCAGGGAAAGACAATGAACTATGATAAGGTGGTGCCAATCATAAACCATCCCCAAGTCATCATTATGTTTTTCGGTAACTAACATCTTCTTAAATGGTATGATTGGGGTTCTCACATGATTCTGGTTAGGTTTCAAACATGTGTTTCATGTTCCATAGAGATGATGATTCCCAACAATTATTCTAATATGTTTCAGGCGGGTTGAAACCGGTAGCTACCAATCAGATTCAATCTCATTCAATTATCATTTGCAATTTCCGCTAAAGATATCCAAACATACACATTGGATGTTTGGGACATTTTCTGAGCTGTTAGAGAAAAAAAGAAAACACAACAGGTGGACAGGTAAACGAGCCTCAGGGGTGCTTAGGGCCGCGCCACTTATGGCATGCAGTAGGTTGACGAAGCCCCGTAACGAGTTATAGAGCCAGAAAGTCGTTGCTGCTGGGGCCCTGGGTTTGGATGCGAAGATGTGTTGTATTTGCAAACACCCACTCATTTGCATTTGGAAAGTTGGATATAGATGCATAGAATTATGCAGCTTTTCTTTTTGGCTATAGTACACTTTCTATCAATGCCAATCACGCAACTATGGGAGCATAGAACCACAACTATGGCTGGATTGTGATCTCGTTGACCTCCAGCAACTATTGGATTTTGCCTCAAGGTGGCAGCTCACATGGCCAGGGATTTCTAGTCATAGGGATCATCAACCAATGTGACTGCAAGAAAAGGGGAAGAAACAACAGGGAAACACTGTCATTCTGGACAGTGATTAGTTCCCATAAATATCATAAATCCTTTGCATGAATAACGGTGTACAAGTTTCACATGCGAGTCCTCTGCGACTCCGCGAAAGCTGGACAGTAGCTGCCTCCATAGATCTATCTGGGTATAATGACCTCACTGTTCTCCCGAAGCCTGGAAGAATGTTAGGGAAATGATCCCAATATGGTCAAAAAATATGTCTTATTTCAGTGATTATGATCATTTACCCAGATCTTTCTATCATGATCTATGGATTTCTACCCCAGAGTGCAGGTTGCAAACCTTACTGAAACCACCTGGGATCCCCTGGGCATGTTGGGCCTCCACGGCCTCCATCTCGATCGCTCGCAGGCAGCTGAAACTTGAGCAGATTCAAGTGGACCTCTGGCCCCACAGAGATCCCACGCCCCACGTGTCGGCGCCTCAAAAAGGGGAAGGGATCCGGGGAGCCGCGGATGTTAGGAAAAAGGATCCTGGAATGAAGGGAGAGCCAAAGAGCCCACTTGTGACAAAAGTCCATGGGCAACTAGGGCAATTATAAAGTTTATAAATTTATAAATTCTAACTTACTTGTACCTTGCAAGATCTTAGAAGTCTAATCTCATCATATCTCATCTAATTCCCCAATTGCATGCAATTGACGTAAGCCCATCCAAGCATGTTTGTTCACTGGGGGCTATCTGAGGGTCAAACTTCTGCGCCGGAACTTGAGTGCAGTTGAAGTTATGGGTATACTATGGGATTGTGAGCTCCAAGAATTAGGATATGGGGCCCTTCATGGCCCTAATGATGATTAACTTGGTTATATAATAGCCACTTAGTTCACTGCTCACTGAACCTGCACCCCCAAGATCTCCCAAGTATCGTATTGTTTCTTGTTCCCCATACTTGAGTTCCAAATTGTCTCAAGTAGAATCCCTTGTGCATGTTTCTGTCCAAGGATCCTCCAAGTCTCGCTTAAAAATGCGGACTTCATACAATGTGCCCCCCCCAGTTGTAAGTTGGTTTATAAACCCCGTTAGCTATAGTTTTAAGTGTAAGTTATAAGTATCACAAACCATAGTTATTGATAGTTATTGGAGTTATGTGCACCAACTTGACAATCTTATTTGCCCCACATTGCACATGTTTCCCTCGCGTTTCGCACCACGCGTTGCTGTATCTCTGAGGCATGTCCGGATCCAGACCAACGCGATCCGGTGTGGCTCCGAATCGCTGGTGGTATCAGGGTGGATGAACCCGCTGGCGGTTTCCAACGTTTACCAACGCTTTTGTATAGCAACCCCCAAAATATGTTGAAACCTGGAAATTATGGTGAACATAACATCTGAAAGCACGGACTCTATTTTTTGGGTGCTATAGATTTCCATTTGACATGTTTTTTTTTCCTCAGGCGGTGAGTTCAGGATCTTTCAGACAATGTCCCCATGTAGAGGGAATCTTTGTCTTGTTGTGTATCAGAGTGGAGGAACCAATATAGAACCAGATCAGAGCTGTGATGGCCCAATGGCCATCATTTACCCAACACAACACTTCAAGATACTTCAAATAATGAAGAAGAAAACATACTCACAACAATTGTTTATTATTGATTGAGCCTGCCGCAGTGCCGCAAGAGATTATCAATGATTATCAATGGTGGAATCTGAGGGTTGGACTAGTTGGACTTCTTGTCAAGATTGACCGATATTCTAGCTATGCCTATACCAGTGGTTAGCGAGCTGTTTGGAGCTATGGTATCCATATTCCCTACTGAATTGGGGACCCAAGGGGGGGTTCCCAACCGCATGATACTATAAGAATTATAAGAATTGTAGTTCAAGTTTGTGCGGCTTTTGCAGGTCGATTTCCTTTGTTCACCATTACCTAGCCGAATCTAGTCTTGCTTCCTCATGACAACCTGCAATGCACCGCATCATCACACAATTTTACATATAATGTTGACCTCTGATTAATAAACATGGCCCCCCCTCCCTTTTTGCCCCTAAATAAACTTAAAGGCACCATCAAACTTGTTTGTATGTATTGGTTTTCAATTACCACAATCTAAAATGAGAATATAAAATGCAATTTCCAAAAAAGTAAGGAATCCAACAATTGTTTTAGTGTTGATTTAGTATTCATTTCATGGATTTAGTATTGATTTAGTATACATTTCATGGATTTAGTATTGATTGAGTATTGATGTAGTATTCATGTCATGGATTTAGTATTGATTTAGTATACATTTCATGGATTTAGTATTGATTTAGTATTCATGTCTTGATCAGCGGGAGGCGGAAGCTCAGTAGCTTTATTCAGGGTCAAACTCTAATTAGCGCTAAGGCACCTCATGGGCGGTACCCGTGATGAGTTGATTTTGGATTGATTTTGGATAGGTTTTATATAAAGGATTTGAATAGAAAGAGCATCCATTATTTTTGAAAATTTGAAGCTATCAAGGTAAGATCTAATGAGCTGGTAGTATGAATTAGTACATGAGAGCCACCTCAAATAAAGCATGGACAATTTGTTTCAGCCCCATCTGGGCAAATCTGGGTTTAGGGCCAACAAAAAATTAGCTTTATTTAGGGGTCATTTATTATTTAGTTTGAGAGTTTGGTTAGCTTTATTTAGGGTGAGTTTATTAACCGTAGGTGAGCATTATTAATTTTAACACGCATTGAAACTGCTTTCCGCTCCGCACTGGCCGCTCAAAGTTACATTTTTTCAAATACAGCAAACGTTACACCAGACACTGACCTGAGCGTCGGACCAGCCTCTCTGAAACCGTCCAGTCTCACCGATCTTGGCGGTTTCAGCATGGCTCCATGGCCATGGAACGGGAAAGAAAACTACTGGTCGATTTTCAGGAGACACCAGAAAAATCATGAAAAATCAATCAAACAATCATCAAACATATTCTCTGGTTATTTAACATAGCCATGGAAAATCACCATCTTTAATAGGTAAACCATCTATTTCTATGGACCATTTCCCATGGCGATGTTTAATAATCAGCCTTGCTCAAAAGTTGAGAAGCCACACCAGCGGAAGAAATCTCCACAGCTTGAGCCCAGCCACGGCGCACCATGTGGCGTCCAGAGCTCGTTTTGAATGGGGCAGAGCCTTGGTAATTCAGAAAGGCCATGCTCTGGGGCATTTTTTCCTGAAAGGGGACTTTTTTTTACAGAGTCAACCGGGATTTATACAACTTGATATACAACCGGTTGGTGGTTTGGAACATTTTTTACTTTTCCATATAGTGGGAATAATAACCCCAACTGACTATTTTTTCAGAGGGGTTGAAACCACCAACCAGACTTGATATACAATGATGTACCCATGTTTACTCATTTTTATCGGCCAACATGAAAAGGTCTAATACTTCACCAGGTTTGGGGCCTTCGGGCGTTGAAGTTTACCCACAAAACCACGACCTATCCACGACCTTGACCCCTTTCGGCTGATCACCGGTCGTCGAGTAATGAGATCATAGATTTGGATGATTTGGATGATTTGGAACATCCATTTGGGTAAATTATAACGACCTCACTGCGACCTCACTGGGAATCATGGTTAGTAAGGGAAATTATCTCCAAATGGCCTTAATTCAGGTTAGTGAAATATTATAATTTACCCAGATCCATGACAATTCACCATTCATCATCAAATAGATGAAGTAGATCATGGATTTGATCAACGAATCAACCCAGCACTTATCCACCACCGGTTGGTGGTTTGGAAATGTTTGGAACATGAATTGTATTTTTCCATATGTTTGGAATGTCATGATCCCAACTGACGAACTCTAATATTGTTCAGGGTTCAAACACGTTCAAACCACCAACCAGATATCCTCTGGTAAACTAACATAACTATGGAAAATCACCATTTTTAATGGATAAATCCACTATAAATGGGCCATTTTCAATAGCTTTTTGTAAGTTTACCAGAGTGTATCCATCTATATCCACCTGTCCATCATGGGTCTTTTCCCTGTGGCTGCTCTGAGGACGGCGGGATCTCTTCCCTTGAAACGCTTCGTGAACCATCCACGCGAGGTCGTCAACGATGCACTCGAAGGCGCCTTGTGCTGTTTCGTTACCCGTTACCATAACGGTTAGCTTCACCAGGGCATCAATGGAGGAAACATTGACATGATTTCATCATATTTGTTTTTTCCGTTTTTCGGGGGGGATTATGGATTTAGATGAACTGTATATGGATTTATCATGAATTATTATGATAATTTATGATGTATGATTTATTGTGTTTTAATCATGCATTTATTTGTAGACTTTCATAGTTGATTTATCATGATTTGTCCGAGAAATATATGAACATTCGTTGGCATTTCAGGTTGAAGATGGAGTCAAAAGGCAGAGTCACACACACTACTGTAAAATGATTTAAAATGGGCATGTGACCAAAAAAAAAAAAACATGAATTGGGTAAACTTTGGTCAGGGATGGTCAGGCTTTAAGCTTGAAGAGCGTGACCTTCTCAGGTGCAAACTAAGCAGCACCTTCCGATGGTCGTCATCATTTTGTATCATAAGTTCCGCATCAGTACCCATAGGATCCATGTATGCTATATATGGTAACTACCATCAATATACCCCAATGCTAGCATATATGAATATATATGCCATACATGGATCCTATGGGGTATAGGATTGATGACTTTAACCGGTGGGCCGCTTGCGCCGTCGGGAGGTTACTTGTGGACGCATCCCAATGTACAACTCTTGGATGGTTACCCAGAGGCGACATGTGACGGGGTGGTCCGTACGGAGCATGCCTGTTGGCTGTGCCTGTTGGCTTTAGCGCCAACAGGTTGCCCCAATCTTTAGAGAACCATGCAGTGGGCAAAACACAGTCACGCAGAAGTCGTAAGCCAGAGATAAGTTCCTTCTTGAGTGTTTTGCAATGTTGTTATTAATTTGTTTACTTTAGCTATTCTATGGCATTAGCTTGGCAGAAGCGTCCTTGTTGTTTCACCCAGTTGGGGTTGCCCCAAAATCGCCTTTTTAGCAGGGGAAATGATCGGATCAACATCAGATTTGGGGGTGTCCTTTTTTCAGACAACCCATCTTGTTCTAACTTGTCCATCGCTATGCGGCATGATGACAACAAATTGGCTGACATTTGATTCTGGAGATGGCTTGACACATTGAAATTTAGAATGCCCACAGAAGTGCTGATTCCGAAAACCAAATGAAAAAACGAAAAAGGATCAACAAAAACAATCCCAAGAAACAACTGAAAATTAAAACAACTAATCAGAAAAACACAGAAAAAAACAAAATCAAAAAAAACAACTGAAAAACAGAAACGCCAAGATTTTCTTTCACAAAATAATTTCATTATTCGCATATCTAGTTTAGATTCGCTTTTCCTTGATTTGTTCCCGCTGAGATTCTTAGATACATCAAACAACTATATATTTGTGTGACTTAAATTCTGACTCTTCGCCCCCCAATCAAACCACAAAGCATCTTCAATGTGTCCGACAATTAATTATCAACATTTCCACCAACAAGTTCAACAAATCCAATGTTTTCCATTTTCACTATGCAGTTTAATACCGTAATACATGTTCCGTATGTGGACGACATCATGCTCTGCTTTAAGAATTGGAGACAAGCCTGCGCCCTGATGCCCTCCTTCTTGGACATGCTGAACTCCATTGGCATGAAGGTCAACTTTAGCAAGAGCTGTGTCATTGTCGATGCAGTGCTGCTACGTGCTGCCGCCACAGAATGCACAAGCCCACTTCTCCGCGAGTTTCAATGGAGCGAGACAACGTCCTACCTCAACCGCCCTTTTGGCTACCAGGTGTCAGTGGAAACGCTATGCCAACAAGTAGCTCAGAAAGTCCATGCTGCATGGGGTAGCCTCAGAGGCATTTTGGGGAGACGCTGGTGGACAAACCCGTCCCAAACAGATACTCTTCTGACAAAACATGTTGGTTCTGTATTTCTGTGGCTATCTCCCGTCCTTTACCCATACAGTGCAGTACTCAACAGCATTCAAACACTCCAAACCACGGTCTTTGCAGATGCGCTGGGGCTCTTCATTCCTGATCTCAGCTATGATACAGCGGTGCAACTTGTTCGCCTCAGGCGCCATGTGGTCAAAAGATGGTTGCTTCATGTCGCTCCCGCAGGCAATTGGTGTGCCAAGCTCCTTAGGCGCTTGTGGACCTTTACGGGGCATATCTGTCGTCAAACATCTCATCCGTCGCAGCCGGCGCGAGTGATGATGGGCCTTTTCGCCTCAACTCATGCGCATGGGTTAGCCAGACCTGGCCCATGGAAGACACTGCATGCATTGTTCCACAAGTTCTGGACATCACATGAGCTGGAAGGTGACTTTCTCAACACTGCTTTGGATCGTGAATCTTGGAAAACCCTTGAGCCAGCCTTCGTTCAATGGTTTCAACCCTCCACTCGCTGCAACGTGGAGTTTTTGCAATGCAGTCCGTGGGAATCGCCGGACATGCTTCTACGAGCACACGTCCCATGGGTACACACAATTGTTGTTCAACTGACCAACGTTGCAGACAACAGATGGCGGCTTGCAGTCACCTGGCTCGACGAAACGGATGGGATGTGCTCCTGGAGCCACTTTTCTGATCAGAACTCCAAACTCACCACCTTCACTTCGGGAATGGCATGCTGCCTTCGATATTTGGCAATGATATACCAACCCTTTGTCATACAGATCGCTTTCGCAACCGCATCTGACTGGGCACTCGTCTTTGCCAACAGTGAAGCCGTCAATAGTGTCTTTAAGCATTGCCCTTGTGGTTCGTGGGTGCAGCTTTTCCCTCTTTCTAAGAAAGAACTGCGACACCGAACCCTTTCCCATAGTTTGACCATTCTTGCTCCTTAAGGGAGTCCCTTGGTCACGCCACGCCATTATTCTTCATTTATGCTGTAGGGCAAACCATTGGATGCCCAGGCAAAAAAATGTCCGAAGCTTTTCACAGTTCTCCCCTTACAAGTTCAAACATTCCAATCTTTTCCAAGTCCACATATGCAGATAATACATACATTGATATTTCACATCTACAAACGTACACAGACATCTACACGCACACAAACACACACCTGCATACAAATAGATATATATATATATAATACACACACACATATATATATATACACACATGTAACCAAAACAAAAAAACTATTTAGTACCGATAGAAAACTCACATCCTCAGATTTTTCCCATGTGTTTCCCATGACTTGACGTCTTTCGTGCGCCGTGCGCCGTGCGCGTGGCTAGGTGAAGGTCTTGGTGTCGAGCACCTGGCAACGGGACAGCGGTCAGGTGGCCATTTTGAGCGGAGGGGGCTCGGGCCATGAGCCCGCGGATGCCGGGATGCCGGGGCACCTGGGGACGGAGGGATGTTTTTTTTCCTCATGGAGATAGAATGATATAATATAGAGATATAGAGATATAGATATAGAGATATAGATAGATCGATAGATAGATAGATCGATAGATAGATAGATCGATAGATAGATAGATCGATAGATAGATAGAACATGATAGGAAGATTATAGAAAGATTATAGAAATATAGATATAGATTGTATCTATATTATCTATAGGTACTTTGAGATTAGATACCGTGGATGGGAGAAATGCTGCACCAGTTGGCAACTATTGGCAACTTTTCTTTTAATCTGGATATAGACTGACATAGATGATTATATGGAAGAATCATCCACTAAATGGAGGTTACTAGCTGGGAAAATCAACAATATTTTAAAATATTTTAAATATGATCTACCCTCCGGTAATAGTTGGCAGTTGACTTATAATGCCACTCACGCACACACACATATATATATATATACATACAAACAGTATATATGCATGATGTACATTCACAACACATAAATAAACAACAATATAATTATATATATATATGTGTGTGTGTATCCTGTAGAAAGGGGTTTGGATTCATCCTGTTCCCCAAACATCTCTCACCAAGATGCGGTTTCGTTGAGGCCAAAACCTGAATTTTTGATTGTGAACAAACGTATTTGCCCAGTTTTTCAATAAAAAAACAAGGATTTGGCCCTCAGACTTGTTAGAAAAAACACTAAGTCACCTGTGACTCCAATCCATATCTACATATATAATCATATATATATATATATCTCTCTCTACATATATATATATATACATAAGCTCATGTCATCTATAAGATTTTGGGCTGTGACATGTTGTTTTGTGTTGGGGGAACAGGAATCATCGTGACGTGAGGTCCCAGTAAAAACTGCAGGATTGGTGACGGGATGCTGACTGCGGTGGTCTGCAACTGGGCCACGAAAAAGAGGGAAGCTGGATGTTGGTGGTTTATGGTGGATTGGGATTGGATTTAGGATTGGATTTGGGATTGTCATAGACATACCAAAAAACATAGACATAGAGAGGAAAAGTACAATAAACCATAGACATACAAAAACCATAATGAAAAATCCTGACAGGCAAAAGTACATAGACATACAAAAACCATAATGAGGGAGCCGCAATGTCATAAACCATTGACGATTATCCACCATCAAACGGGGTTACGACATCCCGGTTATGGATGGTGATGGATAGACGCAAACATAAACCGCACATCGGGGATGCTTACTGTACTGCTTCAGTTGTATGCCATACATGGTATCTAAGATTGGCCATGCCGAGAGATTCCAGAGCCACAATTATGTTTTGGCAACTTAGAACATTCTTGAAGCTCAACACATACTTGCTGTATAAATATGATATATGCCCAAGTCCTAGCAATCAAAATAGTGCCCTCTGGTAATTTATATTATTTAACGAGCTATGGAAAATCACCCTTTTTTAAGACCTAAATCATAATTTTTATCATTTATTTCTGGCCATTTTCCATAGCAAACTCAGTTTCCCCCAGCCCTTCGGCATTGGGATGATGAAACCTGGTAGCTCCGCTTTCAATGAATTGGAGTCTTGATTGCCCCACTTACATTCATTCAATGTCATCAAGATAAACCTAGACCTAGTTTACCATTGTTTTAATCATGGTTTGTATATACTGTAAATTGTTTCATGTTTTGAGCGTCATTGACTATACAATTGTTTACTTACAACAAATGCAGCATGCTTGGTGATCAGACTAGAAGCCTCATATGCGGATGGTATCGGCATTTGACGTTACTCGTTGCTTTAAAGGTCACCGATCTCCGAGTAGTTGGCATTTCTTTCGAATTTTTGACACCCCATTGGGTGCTTTATTAATTCAGAAATATCAATATCTAGAATCTTTCATATGTATATACATATTAATACATATCATATATATTTATATAATTATATAATCATATATATATATATTATATTCAATTTGTGGTCATTTTGTACATTGTTAAGATCATATTTCTTCACGTTTCGCAGACGTGGATCGTTCGCTGAACGTTGGCACCTCGCGTGAGGCGGCGAGATTTTCGCCTCCCCTTCGGCCTTTGCCGTGAGTCGAGCCTTGGAGGTTGGATGTTACCGTCACGGTGATGTCATGATGATGGTATGATGGTATGAAAAAATGTAGTGATGTGTGAGTCACGGTGTAATATAACATGAGAGTCAGCAATGAGTTCATGATAGTGTCATTGTGCTGTCATGGTAATGATTAGATAATGATGAACTAATGTAATGGATGATAATGTACTCGTATGTAATGTAGAATTATCATTATCACTGGCGTAATGCAATGGTAATGTAATTAAAATGATTTGATGATGGTACTATAATGTACTAGTGATGTGTAATGTAATATGTGAAAGTGGCAATGGTAATGTAATGATAATGGAAATGTAATGTAGTGATGTCATGGTAATGAGAGTGATAATGTAGTGACGGTAAACCAACAAAAAAACGCCCGTACTTTGAGTATGGCACCCATTTTTGGAAAATTGGGGATGCTTTGCAATGCTTTACTAACATTAGTAATCATTAATGAGATTAATGAGCAGACCTTGTTATCTCTCTCTCTATATATATATATACACATGTCGCAGTATATTTTGCAACAGCTGGGTGCAATCACGGCCCTTATTATCAGTTCTTTGCATTTTTTTGAGCCTGAAGAAATATCTCCAAGCCTCAACTATTCTGGGATTTGTGATGAGGCCTAGGGGGAAGGGATTTCTCCCAAAGACCTGGTGTTGCATGATGTCGGTTGCTGATGAAATCTCAACTTGGTAGATCTTGGTAGTTTCAATTCAGAAATCGGAGGGGATTTCCCATATGTTCTTCTTATATCCCAGGTTGGAGTTGCTAGTTGCATTTTTTTTTTACAACTTGGATGGCCGTTTGGTGGTGCCGGAGAATCCCGGAGATAGCAGCCGTTGATCGTTCCGATTTTGGGCTGTTTCCCGCACCACAGCCCAAAACCTATGTTTTTTAATAGTAGCTATAGCGGCTATAGCCCTCTAAAGTAGATAGAACATCAAATCTTCACTGTCTTCATTAATTATTTTCCATGTGTTCTATCTTCCTGGGGATGGCTATATGGGTATGGATCAATACCTATTTATACCATTTTTAGGGGGATGAACATCCATTTACCAGCTATTTTGATGTTCACCAGGGGTACAAGGTTTTGACACACTGCCATATATTTTTGTTCAGTACAAGTCAATAGATATACCGAACTAAGCGCATTTATTTGCGAATACCCCTGCAGCATCAATTCGACACCTCCGAATTTCGAATTGTAGGTTACTAACCCCCCATCCCCCGCTGCATATTAAACAGCGCCAAAACTATGGTCCCAAAATTGTATAATTCCCCTGCATCCACCGTGGTTTCTTGGGGGATTACCGGGATTACCATATGATTCGATGAATTCTGCGAAATGTCAGGCGATCACCGGCAACGCCGGGGCTTTGGTGGTGGTCCGCAGCAATGCGGGTGCCGTGCTCGGTGAATGTCACGTCAGGAGGTTTTAAAGGTGGGTATCCAAGGTTGACTACGAGTATGGGTGCCACAAGATGCCAAACCATTGAGTTGTACTCTGCGAATCCGGATCACAACAGCGAAAGCAAACCACACTAGGCTTTTGAAAACAGCTCGCATATAATCAAATAATATCAACTATGTGTTTTGATTCAGGTTTGGACGTGAAATGATGTGTAATTCAGCTAAAGGGTCCCGTTTGCATCCGTTTGCCCTATTTTGCCCTGCCACAATCCCAAGGACAATGTATGACTGTTGAGTGGAAAGCGATTTTACTCTCAGTGACTCTCAGTCCATCCCAATATACATGTGAATCATATGAACCAAAGATAGCTCAAGTCCGTGGGAATCCTGGCGTTCCGCAAGGTACCCGATTGAATTTCAAGTCCGCCGTCAAAGAAGTGCAGCCAAACTCTCAGGGATTCCATGGATTCCATGATGGAGTTCTGGTAAAACAACGGTTAAATATGTGATTTAATGGAATTTTATGGTGATTTAATGGGATTTCATGTGTAGGATTTAATTTAGGATTTTATGGTGATTTAATGGGATTTAATGGGATTTTATGGTGATTTAATGGGATTTTATAGTGATTGAATGGGATTTTATGGTGATTTAATGGATAGTGATTCAATGGGACTTTATAGTGATTCAATGGGATATTAATGGGATATACCCTCTGTTAAATTATCATAGACCTTGAAAATAGCCTAGTTTGAATGGACACTATTCTTCCAAGCCCGATGACTGCCAGGGTCTATGGTCTATGTTAATTTACCGGAGGGTATATGAAAATTATTCCATAGCTTCACTGTAGATGACGAATTTTCTTTGGGTCCCATCTCAGCATGCTGGAGGATGAACCCAGGGATGGGATGATGGTAAACCGCTGAGAGGCATTGTTTCTTGCTACAACCCACAAAAGGATTGCCTAGAAACTAGTATCCAATCAGTGAGTTAAAACTGGGAGAGATGTATTTTTCGTTATTTTTTCATGGTTCAAATGGATTCAAATGGAGGATTTCATCCACAAACCCCTCTTGGTTCCACAAAGATGCTCCTCATGTTCAATATTCTTCGTTTTCTCCATGGAGGTTTGAAGCCTTAGACTGGAAAAATAAACCACGATGTTTCGGTTTCAGCAACAAACAGATTAATGTCCAAAACATGGAGCCGCTGACCGCCGCCGAAAAAAATGAGACCCATGCATAGTTTCCCGATGGGGAAATCATCGGCAAATGATGGATTTTCCATATTTTTCCGAGTAAAATCATCAAACTATATCAAACTTATTAATATAAATTTCCCATTCATTTTTGTTCATATATATTTCCCTAGTAAAATGGATGTTCCATGGATTTTCTCATGGACTTTCCAACTCCTAATGTGCCTTCTGTGGACCTTGACGGTTTCGTCGCCAAGGAGCCGTTCCCAGCTCAAGGTGAAGGTGGTCTGCGTCTCAGATGATGTGGCGACCAGCAAGAGGCCTGGACTGGACATCATGGGTAAAAGCCAGGAAAATGGTCCATAAAGTGAGGGATAAAATGGTTCTTTAACATAGCTATATCTGGTTGGTGGTTTGGAACATTTTTGATTTTTCCATCTATTGGGAATAATGATCCCAATTGACTAATATTTTTCAGAGGGGTTGAAACCACCAACCAGATATATATATATATAGAGTTATATATATATATATGGAAACTCGACTATAAATGGAGGTTTCTAGCTGGGAAAATCATCTATAAATGGGATGTACCCTCAGGTCATTTCAACGTAGCGAACTGGAACATCACCATTAAATAGTGGGCAAATCATGATTGCAATCATATAAATGGGCAATTTTCTATAGCAACCTGTTGAATTACCAGGGGGTAATCTGGATTAAATCATAACAACCTCACCGGAAATGGCAGTGTGTAAGGGTGATCATCATGAATGTCGTGTTTGTCATTTACTATAAGTTATGCAGATTTACAGGGGTATATAGGACGTAACAACATTCTTGCAATCCAGTTATGCATATGATACAGTATATATATATATATGTATATATGCATATATATATATTATAGATATAGAGAGTATAGTGTATAGTATGTTTGGATATTATATTTTGTATACATATATATATGTATGTGTGTGTGTGCGTCATCAGCAAATCGGCAAAAGGCACCGCCATTTCTGTCTTATTGATTTACTAGACACAATCTAATTATTGATTAATCCTGACCACAAATCCAATATAGTTAGCCTAGTTATAGTTGTAAACAGTTTTTTTCTAACGATTGGAGGCTCTGTCTTGTTCGCGTTGAAAAATGCCATGGGAAAAATGGTTTTGTTAAGCCATGTGTTAATGGGTAATTGGAATAATTGGACCGCAATTCATTGGCAGTTAAGTGGCCAAAATGCTGATGGGCTGTTGGTCTTGGGCAGCCCCCTCATGCTCACAGCTTCTTGCCCGTTTTTCCCTCATGAAGCTAACATGGACATTCATGGGGTAGAGGGGGGTATTTATAGCAACCCCAGAAAACATATGCACATGAAGAAGATAGAAACTCGTGATTTATCCCCCATAAAAAAAAAGTGGAAGGTCTATTTTTTTTGGGAGCTTGCAGCTTGCCATAGGATGGAGGGGTCCCAGGATGTTCCCAGTGGAGTCCCTGTCGTGGGTCAGGTCTGGCAGCCGGACAGATTTTGGACAAGCACGAGGTATTGCAGGCGGGGAGCAGAATGGGATCCGATGGTGAAAAATGATGTTCAATGGCAGGATGCTCCCAAGATCAAGGGACCGTTACTGTAAACATATCATATATATATATATACATATATATCCAATTGAAGAGGAACATGGTAGGGGAATGTAGTAGGGCCGTATTTGAAGCCAGCCACCGATAGAAGTGGAGAGTTGAGGGCACTCGTGTGCCCTGGCAATCAGCTCCACGGAGCTGACACCGGTATGATGGTGTGCTGCGAGGCATTGCTTCGGCCACAACCATGGAGAGCACGACCTCGCACTAGAGTCACTAGAGTACAGTGTACATTGGGAATATCAGAAATACCTTTGGGGTATATTTCCTGAAAAGCTGAAGAATTGGAGGAACTCGGAACGTAGTCAGATTCAACTCCGATCACTGATCAGTGGGGGTACACTACCGGGATCTCTCAGGTTGATTCTGGTTGGGTGCCATACTGTATCAATCCAGTGGCCACTCAGTGGCGCTTGTTTTGCACGTTGATACCTCATGATTCAACCATAGCCGGACCATAGCCATATTAGTGAGTCTAATTGGAGCTGCGTATTCCACCGTAACATCTTGCCATTTTTGGCCCAAAAAAGGCGCGTCCGGTCGCAATGATCTCAAAGTTTGATCACATTCCAGAAGACTTTCAATCATGTCATGGGTACAGTGATAGCACAGCCCAAAGGAGAGATATAGAATGAATGACATGTACAAACAAGCTGTTTATCCGTTATGCGCCTGCATATTTGAGCGCACATTCTTCTTTCCATTGATCATTGTTGAGTCCTGGTGAACCATGATCACTGTTATGTCTAATCAATCAGAACCACAATCATACGGATATGCTCACATTGTAGCGCATTTCTCTATCTACTTGGCTGTTTGTTGCCATGGATGCATGTGCAGCTGGTCGCTGGCGCCATGGCGCTTAAAGCCCCTTGGCCGTGTCCACGTTTTGGGCGGTATCTCAGGGTGGCGGCATGGCGTGGGTTTGTTATGGCCTAGGGAAAGACGATCATCAACCATTGCATCACCAAAGTTCGGGATGGTCTACACCAGGATGAACCCAGCAACCTAGCAAGATCCTTTGATGCAGTTGAATGCTAGCTGCAACATGGGATAGTCATTAAATGGCCTGGATGTGTGATGCGCGATGCAACCTCGCAGGGAAGCCACGATGCGAACCAGAACTTCGGAAAGAGTCAGGGCAATCCCCGAGAACATGTTTTAACCATAATATTCACATCCACTATCATAAATATTTTGTGTATACATAAACATATATATATAATTATAATTATTCATAATTATGCATTTTATTAACATTATGTGGAGAACACAAGGCAAATGTGCATGTAATATACATAGTGCATTTCTGTACTGTATGTTGGACCGGGCTGTTTCGCATTGCCTCCATGCCTGCTGCTTCGCAGGCGCAGAGCGAAGTGAATCATGGAACCAGCGAAAGCAACAGCAACTGAGATGCACTGAGCCAGAAAAAGCCATGGGCATAGCGGGGCAGTCCGAAAATAGTGAAGATCATGAAGATATTAGTGTGCATGTTGAACAGAGTCTTCTCTAAGTTTCATAGAGAAATTTCGGCTCATGGGTCTTCTTGACAGATGTTCATCGATTGTCATGGGTGTTGTTTAGACTTATATACTTCGTTGCAGGAACCAAGAAGAATTGGAGGTGCCTACCATATGTGTATATATATATATATTTGTGTGATCTATTGTTTAGGTCTATGTAAGAGAATATACCCACCTTTTTATGGCTTGTCATGGTAATTTCTGTTCGATGGATTGCATGATCCTTTGCAGAACAAGGAGTCAAAATTTCTCACTTCAGCTCCCTGGTCCCTCCCTAAGGCATGTTTGACTATTTGTGTGCCTCGATCTGCAAGTTTTCCTTTGATGTTTTCATGTGGTATTTCTGGCTTTAGTTCCTAAAGTTCCTAAAGCCAAGCGGCCAGTGAACAGCGCATTGTTGATGTTTCTATATGATCTATACCAATCTCGAGCAACCCCGAGAAACCGCAGCAGGTAAACTGGTCTGGATATGTCAGGATCCCCAACGGTCGGTGAAACCGTGCAGAACGATGCATAGAATGGGGACGTCAATGGATGGAGGTAGGGATTCTTGACACAGTGACAGCGTGAAAGCGTTGGAAGACGAGATCAGCACTCGAAACATGTTTTTAATTGTTTCCATTTCTATCTTCGAACACTACCACATGCGTAGACGAGGTGGCGGTGACTGAAAAAACATCCTTCCCATGGGGTTTTCAAAAGTCGTCGCTGTGCTGGGAGACAGCATCAGGTCACTCGAATTGCTGTGGAGAGGATGAGTCCGACGTTAACATCAGAACCACTGCCACTGCGTTCAAGTGCGAACCCCCAGAGACGGCAGTCGCTTGGCCAGACTTGTCTCGGAATATGCCAGATGCTCCATGGTGCTGGAATATTTACCTACATTTACCCCAAAAATTGCCCAAATGTAGGAAAATTTCCAGCACCATGGAGCATCTGGGTATGCCAATGCAGTTTTGGTGGATGCTATAGATGGCGCGTAAAAATCATGTCCGGTTTCATGTCGGCGCAAAGCTAGACGCTCATGTGTTGAAGAACAATGTAGGAGTACCCTCTTGTAATTTCACAGCAGTTATAGAAAATCAATAACTAAATAGGTACTACTACTGTAATACATATATATATATAATATAAATGAGCCATCTATACCATAGCCACCATAGCTGTATTAGTTTATTGGAGGTTAGTCACGTTCCAAGGTAGTTGATGAGACAATGAGTGTCATTGTGGAGTTCAAAGTGCATCGAGTGGGAACGGCGGACTCGAGTGAGTCAAGTGACCCTGGGCTGCGCAGTTTGGCACTTGGCCCAGCTGCTGTTAATGAATCAATGGCCATTTCAGGAACCTAAATTGGAGGTACGTACCATATATAAGGCCTATGTAAGGGAATATCCCCACAAAATATGGCCTTATATGGTACAGTACCTCCATTTCAGGATCCTGAAATTCCCATTGGGGTAATGAAACAACGCGAGTTTTAGGATCTCAAATCTGGAATTGTTGAACCGGTGAGAAGGGATTAAACATGATTAAAAGTTGGTTAACCATATGTTGATCAGACTAATTTGTATTAACCGAATGTAACCGCATGCTATGGTTGTTCCTAGTTATTACTGCATATGATTAACCAATCATGACTGAGGGTAGGGGGTGTATCTTATAATAACTGGGAACTGAAAGCTAAACAGTAACTGGGATGTATCACATATGTATATATATATATATGTATATATATATATATATGTGGGAAAGCCAATAATAAAACTTCCCATTAGTCAACCATTTGGCCTGGCATTTTATATCATCCCCAACAGGGACCCCCACAAAATGATGTCACCAACCTCACTGATTGGAACTCTATAGTTGCTTATGATAGATGCATGCAAGTACATTTGGGATATGCATGTGTGCGGGCATTGACTAGTGCAATATATATATATATTATAAGTATATACATACATATATATATATAAATATATATATATAAACGTGCTGCAATTGTCCTGGCGTCCATTGCATGGAATATCCCTCAATTACCATGTTTAGATGCTTTTTCCTCTGTTGGAACGGGGTTTTGACCGTGGCCTTGCAGCCCTGTATGATCTTTTGCATCCACGCGGAAAGTGTGTTTCCAGTTTTTAGCCCGCGGGCTTATGAAACACGGTTTTCCTAGCTAAATTCATCATTATTGCTGGTAAAATCTGATTTGTTTCTTTATGAGAAAATGAAATCCCTTTTGTGGTTGAAACCTGATTCTTTGACAAAAAACACTCAAGAGAAGTCACTTTTGGTGTGTTTTGTGGATGTTGCTCTGCGTGTTAAGTGATTTTTGTCCACCAGTTCGTTGCTGCCCGAGACCCCCAGGAGAAGGACAATCAGAGGTCAAGGGGACTGCAGGGCATGGTCCGAGAGTTCGAGCGACTCGCTTTTTTGGGCCTTAACGGGTGAGTCGTGAACGTTGGAGAAATTCTGAAATTGAACATGGGTTTACCCTGGTTTGTTTAAGGTGTATTTTCCCTATGGGAGATCCACCATTTGGGGAATCTATAGGGTTTAATATGGTCTGGGCAATTTATAACGACCTCACTGAGACCGAACCCTGGAATCATGGGCAATGAGATGGATCATCTCAAAAATGGCCCTATTTCAGGTTGGTGAATTATTGCAATTTGCCAAGACATGGTGTATAACAGTTGGAGAGTTAAATAAACAAAACTCGGGACTTGAACCAGAGCAAGCCTTTGTTTCTTGAACACTAACATGTGTTGGTGTGTTTAGCAAAAGCTGACATGTCCTAGTATAACCCAGTGTTTTCACAAACAAACATGGACATAGTACCAGGAAACATGTTGATGATTGCTTTATGCTGTTTCCCAAAGTTTGGGAACACTTTGGGGTCCTTGGGAGGCAATGGCACATCAATCTATGCCTTGCTTATGTTATATCCTCAGCAATAGCGCCAGTTTGCTGGCGCCGAAGGGAAATTCTAGTGTAACGCAGGCTCTCGGGTGCAACAGGATGCGGTGAAATATATTTGCGCCGCCACAACAAGAGAGCGATCTATGATCTGTTATTGGAGATTTAACGAGGTCTTCAACCTGTTGACCACAAATGACTGGAGAGTCCCTGCTTCAGGCAGAATTTTCTGATGTGATGCGCCCCATTCGTGGTGGCACATTTGAACCAATCGGTATCCACCATCTATGCACATTTTTTCCCGGAATCCGGACTCAGATCGCACATAACCACTACTAAGCATTTCAGTAGCAAAGGCAGCTGGAACGGCCGCACACTTTTCCGAAACCCATCTTAGGAGCTCCAAGCAGAGCTCGCGTGTGTTAGAGTTGGTGGAGGAGTCCCTGATGTCCCCTGAGGAGGACGTGCT